CCCCGGGTAATAGCCAGGTGGCATTGGCTGGTAGATGGAACCCGGAGGAGGCCAACTCTGTGAGATCTAAAGTAAATGCCTTTTTAAAATTTTATTTGACCAAGTCCGACATGATACAAGTTGTTATGCCCCCGTTGGAGTCTGAATCCAAGGGGGAAGTTGAACAGTTGACAGAGAGCGGGAGAGTGGCTCCGTTGGCTGTGAAGAAACTGGGGAAGGGCTGGGCAGAGAAGGGGAAGAGGTAGAACAATTGAGAGGGGGTTCAGGTGAAGACCAAGGCCCACCCCCTCCTCCTCAGCCTAGGGCTTGCAGGGAAGAATGGAGACGAGAGCAACGTGGGTTCCGTAGCTTACGAGAGAGGAAAGGGCCCTGATTCCCTTCACAAGGCACACCTGGGGATGGAGTTTAAAGGAGAGGCAAATGGGAAGGATGGTTGTCGGGAACAAACACTGAGTTTAACTGCTTATCTGAGTTCCTGGAATCCTCCCAAGTGGTTAGATTTACTGCTGCGCTACTTCACTTCTACTTCACACCCCGGGTCATAAGACAAATAGTCCTCAACTTACCACAATTTGTTTAGTGACCATTCAAAGTTACAACAGCAGAGTTTATGACCATTTTTTACAAGACCGTTGTAGCACCCCCAAGGTCATGTGATTTATATTCAGATGCTTGACAAATGACTCACATTTATGACTGCTCTAGTGTCTCCGGGTCATGTGATCCCCCTTTTGTGACCTCCTGACAAGCCACGTCAATGGGGAAGCCAGATTCACTGAACAACCGGGTTACTATTTTAACTCCCTTAACTCACAATGTCGTAAAATGGAGCAAAACTCACCTCACAAATTTCTCCCTTAACCACAAACATTTTGTGCTACATTGTGGTCATAAGTTGAGGACTACCTGTAGTATATGCCTGTCTTCCTCTACACATCACAAACATGGCGAAGGGCCACATTCGCTTTGTACGTGGGAGTTTCAAATGCAAACTGCTCACTTAACCTTCAGGTGGTAATCAAGTACAGATAGTCCTCAATTTACAACACAACATTTAATTTAGTGGCCATTTAAAGTCACCATGCCATGGGAAAAAAGTGATTTATGGCTGTTTTTTCACACTTACAACTGTTGCGGCATGTCCATCGTCACCTGATCCCAAACTCAGACACTTGGCAACTGACTCATATTTATGAGTCAACTGCAGTGTCCCAGGGTCATGTGATCACCGTTTGCAATCTTCTGACAAACAAAGTCAAATGGGGAAGCCTGATCCACTTAAAACGGAACTCCTAAAATATCAACTGCAGTGATTCACTTAACAACGGTGGCAAGGGAAGTCATAAAACGGGGTAGAACTCCGTTAAACAAAGTCTCACTCAGCAACAGAAATTTGGAGCTCAGCTGTGGTCGTAAGTCGGGGATTGCCTGTATAATCCTAGGATACCAGGAAAGTGGGGAAAGAGTTTCTCCAATATTCCTGATTGTAGCTGCTTGCAATCATTCTACTCAGTGGTAAAATTAAAAAAAAATTACTATTGGTTCTGTGGGTGTGGCTTGGTGGGCGTGGCAGGGGAAGAATATTGCAAAATCTCCATTCCCACCCCAATTTGGAGCCAGACAGAGGTGATATTTTCTGGTTATCCTAACAACTCAAAATTTCCGCTATCGGTTCTCCAGAACCTGCTGAATTTCACCCCTACTTCTAATAAAGGGAGCACAAAGTTTGGGTTACTTTTTCAAGACCATCCCAAAGGATGTTCAACAGCCATCTCTCAGTCACATCAATCTCCTGATATCACACCAGCCCAAGAATCCCTGTACCTTGTAAGGTTTCATGTTGTAATACTTGAGACACCCTTGGGACCAGAGAATGACATTAATATCAGGCAATTTCCCGGGCATCTGAATCCTGGCAACTATCTAAATCAGGGTTGGGCAAACTTTTGGTGGCCATGAGCTTTCTATCTTTTGAAAGGGAAAACCCAGGGATGGGTTGCTACTGGCATGACGGCCGGTTCGGCACACATTTGCACCTACAAAGTTCTGCGCATGTGCACAACGTTAGAAAAGGGTTTAAGGTTTAAGCTTTATTAAAATTTGTATGCCGCCCACTCCCATCGGGACTCTGGGCAGCTCACAGCAAGACAGAAACAGTTTAAATTTAAAAATAGAAAAAT